CGCACATTCTGAGCATTTAGCGGAACACTTCGCACATTCTGAGCATTTAGCGGAACACTTCGCACATTCTGAGCATTTAGCGGAACACTTCGCACATTCTGAGCATTTAGCGGAACACTTCGCACATTCTGAGCATTTAGCGGAACACTTCGCACATTCTGAGCATTTAGCGGAACACTTCGCACATTCTGAGTATTTAGCGGAACACTTCGCACATTCTGAGTATTTAGCGGAACACTTCGCACATTCTGAGTATTTAGCGGAACACTTGGCACATTCTGAGTATTTAGCGGAACACTTCGCACATTCTGAGTATTTAGCGGAACTCTTCGCACATTCTGAGTATTTAGCGGAACACTTCGCACATTCTGAGTATTTAGCGGAACACTTCGCACATTCTGAGTATTTAGCGGAACACTTCGCACATTCTGAGTATTTAGCGGAACACTTGGCACATTCTGAGTATTTAGCGGAACACTTCGCACATTCTGAGTATTTAGCGGAACACTTGGCACATTCTGAGTATTTAGCGGAACACTTCGCACATTCTGAGTATTTGGCGGAACACTTGGCACATTCTGAGTATTTAGCGGAACACTTCGCACATTCTGAGTATTTAGCGGAACACTTTGCTTTTTTTTTTTTTTGGAGAGATTGATGGACGTGGTGGCTTCTAGTTCATTATTCCGGTAGTTCATTGAACACCTATGCGTTCCTCGTGGAACACTAGGGTTCCGCGGAACACAGTTTGGGAACCAGTGATATAGATGAATGGCATTTTCGGTTAAACTAAATTGTCTGACAGAAGTATGTATATTTCTGGAACGATAGTAGACATTTTACAGCGTTCTCTGTGGTCGCTCTTCAGCTGAATGCAATAAGAGTCCGCCTTTTCCCCCCATCGACCGTGGCTGAACGTTGCGACCATTTATTTTCCTCTATTGCATGTACTGGACGCCACCACCTCTGAAACGTGATGAAGAATCATTTTCTTGCCTCCATGTGCATTGGCATCTGACCCGCATGGTAGCTCTCCAGGGATCATATTCATTTACACTGTCATCCTCTGAAGGACATTTTCACACATGTGGCTCTTTGAGGTTCTGGAAATATTTTTCCTTAAGTTTGGTTGATCTACTTTGAACGCTGTCGTCATGTCTGGCATCTTTTCAAAACATTCTATAGAAATAGGTTCAATGGCGCGGTTGGGGTGGGTTCGATTTAAATTTTTGGATTTTCTTCAATCTGCAGTCCAAATTGTCATACTTATTGAATAAGAAAAAAAAACAGTCTTAGAGTCGTGTGTTATAAGACAGTGGCGTCTGTAGGACGTGTCACCCAGTGCGGCAGGCACCCCCTAGTGACGCCACTGTTGTAAGAAACTCAGATAACATCAACCTCGTTTTGAGATTTTTTATTCAATATTTCTGCATGGTTTTCAATATCTTCCATGTTTGTTTGTAAAATGTTTTACATGTTTCGGATGTTCCTTCAGAGTTGAAGATAATTACTTCCTAGTCCAAATCTCCCGCTGGACGACGGGGGATGGAAGCAGGTTTGAACCCGAAACCATCGATAAATCTGAACGACAGTGTGTATTTCGTTGAGCCACCAAGATTTGTTCTAGAACTCAGCTTAGTTTTACATAAGTTTAACAGCTTTCTGATATTTGATTCATTTTCTCTGCCAGCATACGCACTTTATATGAATCGCTGTTTAGGTCTCATGAGAAGAGATCACTGACTCACATTCTTACATAGAGGAATTTAGTTTCTTGTTTATGCGATGTGGGTTATAGTCTACACAATTAGCAAGTTCTTTAGAAGCTGTTGTGTAAGGTTGCATATTGATTGTATTCTTCTGCTCATTATGTGACGACTCGCAAGCGTTAACAGGACTTAGAAAATCACAGATATTTTTTTTTTGGAAAATCATTTTAGAGACGGAAATCGATCGATTGTTTGATAAGCTGCTTGCCTGTTTGGCTTTGTCGTTCATGATGCTCTGAATTTTGTTGGTTTGTAGGCCAAATAACAATAACAATAAAAACAGACTATGAAATACGACGAGTTTTTAGTGCAATGTGCAACTTCCGTTTTATTTAAACAAGAGTCGCGTACGTTGTGTAGGTACGTGACAATTATATCGGCGTATGAAATATTTCTTGATGTAAGTAGAGATATTTATTTGAGAAGTTTTTGGATTACTTTGAGATAATTATAGAGTGGATCTCTAGTCCCAATCAATACCTGACATGATTGTCATGCTGGTCACATGACAATGTCATAAAAATCGTTGGACATAGAAATCATTGAGTTAAATCTTTTGCCTTATAGAAGAATAAAAACCTTTATGTATAGGCTAGTGATAATTCTAAATTAAAGTAGTCACGGGCCCCGGAATCAGTATCCTGTCCCATATTTTCAGCATTACATTAGTCTTAAGGATAGGTTTCATATTTTAAAAACTTCATGAGTCAAAACTCAGAGAAGCAATGCATTTAGAGATCTAGTTCACATTTCTGAAATATTACATTGAAGATAATTTTTAACTTATCTCCGTAATTATTTTTCCACTTTTTCCACGTTCTGACAGAATTTTTTTCACATTTGTACATTCTACCCTCGTTATGATTAAACTTCAATAACATTTTTGTTTACAATCAGAAAACGTTACTTTTAGTATAGATTTATAGGAGAATGCATGCTCTTTTTATATAACACAAATTAAAGTTTATAAAACCAAACATTATTTTAATTTAATGAGGTCAAATCAACGATGATGTCGTTAATTAGGAGAGAAAGAGTTAAAAAGAGTAATACGAGTTTTAATGTTGTTGTCACAAACAGTAAAGGCGAGTGCTTATGTCTGGGAGAGTATACCATGAGCTTTTGGAAGGAGTGTAACACTTGGAACTTTCTGGACACATTTTTGAGATGTAAGCCTACTAAAAGAAATACGCCTTTGCGCCTAGGTGACTTACCAACGAGCTGTAGACCAAAGGACTATTTAAATAATGCATTTGAAGCCCACGTCTTCGAAAAACTTGTGGTTCATTATGTCTTCTTGGCTCATTATGTAATGTTGGCTTATTATGTCCTGTTGGCTCATCGTGTTCTGTTGGTTCATTATGTCTTGTTGGCTCATCATGTTCTGTTAGTTCATTATGTCCTGTTGGCTCATCATGCCCTGTTGGCTCATCATGTCCTATTGGCTCATCATGTCCTGTTGGTTCGTCATGTCCTGTTGGCTCACCATGTCCTGTTGGTTCATTATGTCCTGTTGGCTCATCATGTTCGTTGGTTCATATTGACCTTTTGGTTCTTTAAGTCCTTTTAATTGATAACGATCTTTTGGTTCATTAATTTTTTTTGGCTCATTATGTTCTTTTGGTTCATTATTGACAATTTGGTTCATTGATTCCTTTTGGTTCATTCTGTCCTGCTGGCTCATAATGTCCTGTTGGCTCATAATGTCCTGTTAGTTCCTTATGTCCTTTTGGTTCCTTGTTGTCCTGTAAGTTAATCTTGTTATCAATGTCGTCACGATCAACGCCCCCCCTCTCTCCTCCTTTTCCAGGAATGCAGAATAATTTTTTTTGAAATTCCACTTCAACTCTACTCTTCGTAAGATCAAAACCTATACCTTAAAGACCAAAACCTATATCTTAAAGACCAAAACCTATACCTTAAAGACCAAAACCTATACCTTAAAGACTAAAACCTATACCTTAAAGATCAAAACCTATACCTTAAAGACCAAAACCTATACCTTAAAGACCAAAACCTATACCTTAAAGATCAAAACCTATACCTTAAAGACCAAAACCTATACCTTAAAGACCAAAACCCATACCTTAAAGACCAAAACCTATACCTTAAAGATCAAAACCTATACCTTAAAGATCAAAACCTATACCTTAGCAGTGTCCATCAGTCCAGGCAAGAAGCCTACATTATAAGCTCAACACTTGGGCCTCCGTTGTTATCAAGTCCAACCCACTCATAGACAGAGCATAGAGCCAAGAGAGTATACGTAAACGGGAAGGGGGGGGGTGTAACTGTAAGGGGGGGGGATCTCCCTTAGAGCTTTGGATAGCGACGAGTGGCGGCCAAGCCATTCATCCCCCGGGAGTCCCGTTACCATGGCTACTGGAATTCTAGTGCCTCCCTAAGGAGGCTTCTCTGTGCATTGACTGTTAAAACTTTAAATAAGCAATCCCTAGTGGTGCTGATGGAATCAATACTTCCATGCTGGCTTTCCTTTTTTTTTTTGTTTGTTTCGTTATTTTTTTAAAATCACAATTTAAAAATTCTATTTTCGTCTTGAAAGAAGACGGATCAATAGGCGTTGGTGCTTTGGGCTAATACACGCTGGAACAATGTGGCAGTTAACGTAGGGTTTCATTATAATGGGCATAAACATAGATGGGGCAATGGAATAACGTGTTGTAGAGATAACAATGGAATGATCAGATAAAATTAGATTAACATATGGGCCAATTCCTAATCTTGTTGATTTGTAGACGGCTTAGTAGGCCTAGTCTTTGAAAAAATCTGGACAGAATTTGTCCTTAAAATATCTTCATACCAATGGACAAAATATGATGCATAGAATATCCTGAAGGCTACATTTCTGTTGATGAGTATAGAATGTGTTTTAAATGCCTCAAAACACCAGAAATGATATAAAAACTTTAGTTGTATAACATGAAAACATGAAATATTCATTACTTTTATTGTCTTATTTATTAGCATCTGAAATTATGTTTTATAATAAGACACAAATTCATTCATTGAAGCACAAATCTTGCGCTTGATTTCTATAGACCAGTACTGGCGACGAAGATTTAAAACAAAAAAATCATGACTAAGGGAGTTTGTGTAACACACGGCACAGACTGCTTGGTAGCACGTGTTGGTCAGTCAGGGAGTTTGTGTAACACACGCGCACAGACTGCTTGGTAGCACGTGTCGGTCAGTCAGGGAGTTTGTGTAACACACGCGCACAGACTGCTTGGTAGCACGTGTTGGTCAGTCAGGGAGTTTGTGTAACACACGCGCACAGACTGCTTGGTAGCACGTGTTGGTCAGTCAGGGAGTTTGTGTAACACACGCGCACAGACTGCTTGGTAGCACGTGTTGGTCAGTCAGGGAGTTTGTGTAACACACGCGCACAGACTGCTTGGTAGCACGTGTTGGTCAGTCAGGGAGTTTGTGTACGCACAGACTGCTTGGCAGCACATGTTGGTCAGGCAGGGAGTTTGTGTAACGCACGCGCACAGACCGCTTGGTAGCACATGTTGGTCAATCAATCATTGCAGACGACATCTTTGATCATTGCAGACGACATCTTCGTCCGCGTCATTAATTTTTCTTTCCAGCTTTTCACATGATCATGTGACTTATCTTATACCTAGCTAAAACGTACTATTTGATTCTCACATACTGTCGTTCTTGGCCACATGTATATTAGCTAATGTCTACCTGACTATATATGTAGACTGGTTGGGGACGTTATTGACATGATGATATAACCTTGCCACATGTAAATTATGAGTGAGTCTGGTGTGAATGTACACTTTGGTTTCTTATAGTTATAATGTTTTTTTGTTTGGTGTAATGCACAGATTGTAAGACAAATTTCCATACGGACATTAAAGATTATTATTATTATTATGTTAGAAATGAACGAGTAGTCATTCTCTGGCGCTGCCAGGGTCGAGTTTCGATAAAGAGAAACAAAATTCATCGATTGAAATCTACCGTTTTGTCGGTCAGAATAGGCCTATCCCAGTACAGCAGATGTTCAGTAGACTCGAGAACCTCTTGCGGAGAGTATTTATAATAAGGGGGAGTGTCCTTACCGATCAATTTGTACGTCAAAACCAGGTGTTAACTTTGCAACTTTGCCGATTCTGATAGGGCTGGACATCCTGCCATAATGTGTTCAATCGACTCGCCCACATTTCCACATTTTCGGCATTTGTCGACAACATTGAGTTTCAGGATATGCTTCTCGTAATTTTTTGTCCTGATTACTCTGTCCTGTATTGCTGTAACAAAGCCTTCTGTTTCAGGGTAGAGATGACCTGCTTTGAGCCATGTTAAGGAAGCAGCCTTGTCGATGTTGTCCCCATGTAATGAAGCCGGCAATTTTCCGTGGAGTGTTTTTTCTTCCCATTGGCGAATCTCATGTCATACGTCGTCCAAACCGACATTGACATCAGCATTGTGTAGGTTCAGAAGGGTTACTTCGGAGTCATATTTGCGTAGAAAGGAAACTAATTTGTTGCTGGAGGCGAGCAGTTTTGATCGTATTTTTAAAACTTGCATCTTACACAATTTGAAGATGTTCTGCAATGCACGACCCCCATCCTTCCTGGGCAGGTATAACCTTATGGTGGAGGACTTGGGGTGTAGGCATCGAAACTTGGTTAGTATTTTTCTAGTGAGTCTGTCAATGTCATGTAGGTCGGTGTCAGTCCATTTGATCACACCGAACGTGTAAAGGAGCACTGGGACGGCCCAGCTGTTTATTGCAGTGATGAGATTACTGCCAGACAGTTTGGTGTTGAGGATTTTATTAACTCTTTGCTTATATTTACCAAGAAAGTCCTCTTTTAATTTCTTATGGTTTATCTTGGAATTCTGGTTTATTCCAAGATATTTGTAAAGAGAGGCAGAGTTCAATTCCTCGATGCCTTCAAATTCAATGTTGGTGTTCGTTGCCTTGCCCTTTTTAATGCTTACGATGCAACACATATCCAGGCCAAAAGACATACAGATATCGTCTCTAAAGCATTTACCGTTTTGATTAAGGTTTGTAATTTTTGCTCGGTTTCTGCATATAGCTTTAGATCATCCATGTATAATAAGTGGGACACACATTTTGTACATTTAGTGTCAACCCTAAAACCGTTTGTAGAGTCTTGGAGTAATGTAGATAGAGGATTAATCGCTAGGCAGAACCAGAGTGGAGATAGTGAGTCACCCTGGTATATACCTCTTCTTATGTGCACAGAACCTAGTTTATCACGATTAAGGTGCAGATTTATCTTCCAATTATTATTATTATTATTATTATGACAAAGGGGAGAATTTTTACTGTTGAGGACAAAAAGGGCTGGCGGTATTGTATTTTCAAAGGAAGATTGGCGAGTGGGGGAAGATAAAGGCTTAAACTTCATTTACTATATCACTTAGTTTGAATCATTTTCTGTTGTATATCTACGAAATCTTTACTTTTAATTTAGGTCTTTTCCCAATTTAAAATTTAAGGAACTTCAGTTTAGCAAGAACGAGTTAATATCCAAAAGTCTGGCTGGCTGGTGACCGTTTTAAAGAAAAACAACTCTTCACTGGGTTCTCTCTTGTTTCACATGTTTTTATAAATCAGGCCTTCGTCTACATTTCTTAAAAGGCAACTTGATTAGAATGAAGAGGGCGGAACTAATAAAGAAAAATAAATCTACAGCCACCCATTGCTAACGCTGGCTTTTAATCAGTTATGTAAATGTCATTTCAATATAAAAGCATTTAACTAAAAAAAAATTGAGTTTCTAGTCTTCACCATGTCTCTTGAACAGGCTGCATTCAGTTCTTGCATCATTCTTGTAACCAATCAACTTGGTCAACCTTTATAACACAATATGTTGAAGTATTCTGGATAATATATATTTGTAAGTCTAAGTCTGTGGCATTTTACGTCTCGAGAGACCATCTTTTCCATTTGCAACTTCTTGTGTGACTAAAGAGGCCCATCCTTGATACACAGCTGCGTCACAGGTTGGGCACATGTAACCACGATCTCAGACTTTATGACAAATCTGCAAAGGCGTTTGAAGAGTTATAAAACCATGACTTGGAATAATGCTGTCATTCAGAACATTGTAAAAAAAAAAAAATTGAATTTTCTCCGAGTCTCTCTTTGGTGCCATAAACTTCTGTTAATGTAATAAAACCGTAAGCTTAAATAAGACCTCATTTATAAAATAAGAGATTTCTAAACACAAAATAATTTTTTTTCTGCGCTACAGTATACGGCATTTTCATTTTCGAAGGCGGACCCATAATTGACAACCTTATGGGTGTATCCGATGTACAGAATATAAAGAATCGATGTATATAATACCAAATAATAAATTAAATTTGTATTCACTTTGCGGAAGTGTAGAATCAATTTCTAAGCTCTTTTCGTTTGTAACACAAAGTAATTTTATTTTTAGTTGGCAGCTTTGATATTTCTATACGGCGTCCTTGACAATGTTGTATTTATTTCAAGATATCTCAAGCCTTTTCATTTCCTAGCGTTTTTCTTTAGGTTTTATTACATCGACACTATATTTCTTCATATCACTTTATCTTCTTCTCTTGTACAAAATATTTGTTCTTAACCCTTTTTATTTTTCAGTGGAACAAAAAATGTAGTTATATTCACGTATATTTTCAAGATAATGTCAAGGGCGCTAAATTGAACTTTAACCTTACCAAATAAATAAAATCACACCCATAGACTTATATATACTATATCTAGACTGGACATGTGTCTTAGAAAAGTAATGATCTTTAGTTTTTAAAGTTAAGAAAAAATACAATACCATTTTGTGGATTTTGAATAGAATGGGCTATTAATCACAGAACCATATATTCACGCTAATCTTTTAAATAAAGCAATTTCCTGTTAGTTTCCTTTGAGATCATGTCTCGAATATCCTTGGGAGAAATAATAAAAGTCTGTTGATTTTAATCATCTTATGTACATTTAAATAGACTGATTACCTAGATCTTTCTAGATTATGTATCTAAAAATTGCAAAATAATAATTATCTAAACATTAAATTATATATTACATAGGTTAGGGTTAAAAAAAAATTGCTTCTTATAACTAGTTTACAAAACAACGCCATGTTTCACCTTTTTTTTGGAAGTTTTTCACTACATTTTTATGTAGTGTTAGAGATTTCCATGTCCAGTCTAGGTATAATATATGTCTATGGTAACATCATATGTATTGAATGTGAATGAAACCATCTTCTTAGAGAGTAGCGATGACTTGTTCCTGGAGCCAAGTCAAAAACTTTTCTCTTTAAGCGTTCACCAATCCTAAACACATGCTAATCCGTAAGAAAAAGAAAGCTTCTTCCCCCCCCCCCCCCCCCCCCCCATCAGGCCATCTATTTCCTCCCTCCCAGATTTTTCCAAATCAATAAAGCCTCGAAAATCCTTTTCTTTAAAATCCATCTTTGAAGTAAAAGTGAGCAAAAAAAAAGCACGAGCTTTCAAAGGTAGAGTCTGAAAAAAAAATGATAGCAAAAACATAGATAGAAAACAGAAGAAAATGGATCATGGCATGGAATAGAAAGGTTTTTGGAAAGAGATGTTGATATCCACGGTGTCTCTAGAGATCATTAAGACAGTGGAAGATAGATATCAGGAGGCCTCGAAATCAGTGCAGCTTTACAAAGATTAATTAGACCTGTCGGAAGAATTCAGCGCGCAGAAAAAAAAAAAAAAAAAAAAAAAAAACCAAGGGAAATAATTACCAGATAAAGGTGCAAGTTAAATCAGGGTTACTGCCCTCGTAATTTTAGAACGCTGTCGTACAGTCGTCATATAAATTGACTTGACCCGTCCATTAACAAAGTATATCCACTGCACAGTCTCCCTTATTTCTATATATTGTTACCTTTTTTTTTAACGTTTAGAGTGTCCTTAAAGTTAACCTTAACCTTGGTTGTTTTTTTTAAGTTTTTGTTTAAAAAAAAGTCTGTAAACATACAAAGTCAAAAGTCCATAAAGCTCATTTACTTTTTTTTTAAGGAAAATAAAGACAACTGTTTTTTTTTATGATCTCTCAGTGCGTAACTCTGCAGATAACTTCAGGTGCATTTCAGCTTTACATTATCTGCCCCATCGACTTTACAAGTTACAAAAGTCCAATGTGAAATAGGTGAAGTCACACTGCCATAATCTGGACATCACGTGTGTTGACAGGTCCAATATGACGTAGGTTACGTCACACTGCAATGATCTGGACATCACGTGTGTTGACAGGTCCAATATGACGTAGGTTACGTCACACTACAATGATGTGGACATCATATGTGCTGATAGGTTCAATGTAACATAAGCTACGTCACACTACAATGGTGTGAACATCACATATTGATAGGTCCAATATGACATGATAGAGGTTACACCAGCACTGCAAGTTTATATGATCAGATCGGCAACTTTTGTCCTTTACTCTACGGCTTCTAGTGTCAAAAAAAATTGTATATAGTGGCTTACTGTACTTATTGTTAAAGTTTTTATTTGTCTCTATCTCTCATTGTAAAAAGGCTTCCAGTTTCCATGGTTACCATTGTTTCCATACAGCTGCATTCTCAAAGAAGGCGAAAAGGAGGGCAAATCCTTACAACGAACAGCTTTTAAATGTAACCTTA